ACCCACCTTACTACCATCGCTGACACTCCCTCATTCTCCCAGTCTTTAATACCAAGACCTTATATAGATACTAGAAAAAGATGTGATAAGTAGTAAGTCAGAAAGAATCACAGAAACCAAAACAGGGCTTAAATTATAGATGAGTTTGGGTTTGTGGTTTTCTCCAGCATTGCGGGGAGAAGGACGTATAATCAGATACATCATCATTCCACCCCAGAACAAGTAAATGATCTCTCTGTATAACATTAATTGTTCTTTGGGGTCAAGAGTGAAACATGCTTATAATTTTTAAGCCATTTTTATAAATTTTCTTGATGCTTATTTTTATCCTTTCTTAGACTTTCTTATGTTGTTTTATGTGTCTATTTTTTAAGTTCCCAAATAATAATGATAGTAGTAATAATCTATACTTCTGAGTTCTAAAATTTGCCTTTCCCATGCACTGATGTCAGCCAGCCTCTTCTACTGGTTCTTTTTAACCTGCAAATTACTTATTACAATAAAGGAGATGACTCAAGCTCTTAATAAAGGCTTAAAAATGTCATCTCTACTTAAAGCCTTCAATCAAATACCTCTAACTGTTTATGGAAATGTGTTGGCATTATTTGAAATTCTAGCATTTTCAAAAAATTATCAGTAGGCTCCATTCTTGACCACTCAGAAAACTTAAAAAAAAAAAAAAATACTAGGTGAAGCAAGAATTTCAGGAGATCTAATATATGAGAGCATTTGAAAGATTCTTTATGCCTGCATGGAAAGTGAGGAACAGCAATCTTCTAGTATCTATTATTTCACTGGATGGAGTTAAAAAAAAAAAAAAAGTAAGCCACAGAAAGAATCTTAATAACTCACTCCTGTTTCTTGCTGCTGCTGCTGCTGCTGCTGCTAAGTCACTTCAGTCGTGTCCGACTCTGTGCAATTCCACAGACGGCAGCCCACCAGGCTCCCCCGTCCCTGGGTTCTCCAGGCAAGAACACTGGAGTGGGTTGCCATTTCCTTCTCCAATGCATGAAAGTGAAAAGTGAAAGGGAAGTCGCTCAGTCATGTCCAACTCTTAGTGACCCCATGGACTGCAGCCCACCAGGCTCCTCCGTCCATGGGATTTTCCAGGTAAGAGTACTGGAGTGGGTTGCCATTGCCTTCTCCGCCTGTTTCTTGCTAGAGTCTCTCAAAAAAAACCAAGAAGTGATGGGTGGTGTCTTGAATTGCAGTCTGTGGGCTTTTACAAAAGAATCGTTTTACAGGCTTCACATACGTTTGAATCTTCTAAAATCAAAAAGTTAAAGTTTTTCAGAAAGGTCAACACTTTTAAAGTTAAAAGAAAAATGCAAGATTTTTAAGGACCTGCAATACAGGAGCCATGGTTTCAATCCCTGGGTCAGGAAGATTCCCCTGGAGAAGGGAATGGCTCCCACTCCAGTAATATTTTCTTGCCTCGAAAACCCCATGGACAGAGGAGTCTGGCAGGCTACAGTCCATGGGGTCACAAAGACTTGGATATGACTGAGCAATTAATGCTTTCACTTGAAGGATTTTTTTAAAAGGTGATATATTTCTAATCTTTGATTTCTTACAGCTAAAAGTATTTCCTTCATAGTGCAGAGCAATAATTATTAACTGTATACACTAAAATTGTCAAACATGAAAAATAAAAACGCAAGATGACATTTACTCAGAACCAGTCCTTATTAAGTATAATTCTTAGCTACAGGTAAGGTTTAGAATATGATACTGGAATGAGAAAAACATGATGATAAACTAGGAAAAGGTCAAATTATAGTTGAGATTAATAATTTGAATTATAATGTTTAATACAGTAGATTGACACTGCCCTCTACTCATTATTTTTATTGGCAAAGGTTTCTTGGAAAAAGTCTTAGGTCACCAATTTTGAACGATGGCCAAAATGCTTATTTAAATAAACAAACAAAAAATGGTGAAATTTCTTGGTACAGATGTAATTTGCCAGTTGCTAATGGGAACATCATATAAAAGATATTTTGAAATTTACACTTAATATTAAACTTTCAGAATTCAGGGTTACAAGTTCCAGGATCCACTCCCATAGTGCCCTTCTTCTCAACTTTGATAAACATTTATGCATTTTGTTTAACATTGTACCTAAAATGCACCTGATGTTAACTTCCACCTCCATCCTGTCCTACATCTTTATCAAAGGCTTTGGTTACATGATTATTGCACTATAAATAATGGTCAAATGATAGGAAAAAAAAACAAAGTGTACTTTAATCAGGGATAAAGAATGAATGGACCAGGAAAGTTATGTGTACTATTTATTTGAAATAACATGTTTTGCCACTAGATGTCACCCTTTTTTTAAGCACCAAGTTTACTTCATAAAGTTAAGAGTAGTTACATTGCACTTAGGGTAGAAGTTGGTACCAGTGGAACTAGTCCCTCTAATATCACATAAAAAGAAGCTTTAACAACTGATAAACAAAGAAACAGCAACCAGGGTTTCCTGTAAGAAGGACTACATGTGTCAGACTGATTTGAGTCTTCTTGGTCTCCAAACTAGATACTTAAAATGCAACAGAAGTTAATAGCATGTGATTTTCAAACTGTACAAGTAGAAGATTGTACAAGCATGGCTCTTGTACAAATATAAAGTGAACACATATAAAGATCTCAATCAACTCATAGTTAGCAGATGAGCCAGTAAGATGGTGAGGCCAGTATAAGAGAGAATTTCAGGAATAGAGGCTTACAGCGTCAGTCTGAGCTTGGCCATAGGTACAAAATTCTTTAATATCGCAAAGGTCACAAACCATAACCTTTAAGGGTATGTTTCCTGCTTGAGGGGAAATGATCTCTACTTGTCAAAATTCTACAAGTTAACATGCAACTTCACAGTAAGGCAAAAAGATACTTACCCTAGATGTATGGATCACCTATCATGCTTCAGTGGCTGTGCTGTTTTATATTCATTATCCCATTTTAATCTCATGATAACTTTCTATGCGGTAGATGCTTATGCTCTCTTTATCAAGAGGCATCAAGAGATGTCTGAGAAATCAAGAACATTCTTCAGGACCAGCAGGTGAGTGATCAGGCTGGAATGTAAATCTGCTGTGTCTGCATGGTCTTTCTCCTGGGAGCACAGACTTAACACTTACCTACTGGAGGAGGAAATGGCAACCAACTCCAGTATTCTTGCCTGGAAAATCCCATGGACAGAGGAGCCTGGTAGGCTATAGTCCATAGGGTCACAAAGAGTTGGACACGACTGAGCGACTTCACTCACTGGGTCTAGAGGATGCTGGGATTGTACAAGATGAGGCACGTGCAGGCACACTACAACCCTTCTGCTCTCTCCTGCTCCTCATCCATGAAGGGCAAATAATGGTGAAAGAACTCTGAAGTGCAATAGAGAGGCTGTAAAATCAGAGTTTAACTGCTAATGCTTGCATTCTCGAGAATTTGTGTACATTACTTACCATACCCCTGCTTCCCTTTGCCGATTCCTCTAGTGCAGTTTAAATAAGTGGAGAGTTGGAAATGCTCAGGGTGGTGAGTCTTCACACAAACGCAAGCAATATCTTACATACCATCTATGTGGAAAACACTTAGGCTAGGTAAAATGTTATCAATGGGGTTTTTTATAAAGGAAAAAAAACAGACCTTTTAAAACTTACATGGTAGTCCTATAATATACTTTTTACATTCTTTTCAGATAATTTTGGACAAGGGGAGAAATCTAATGTTGTTGTTGTTTAGTTGTAGCTACTCATGAGCTGCCTCATGGACTGTATCCCTCCAAGCTCCTCTGTCCATGAGATTTCCCAGGCACGAAAACTGGAGTGAGTTGCCATTTCCTTCTCCAGGGGATCATCCCGACCCAGGGATTGAAACAGCATCTCCTGCTTGGCAGGTGGACTGTTTACTACTGAGCCAACAGGGAAGCCCATAGCTAAGATATTCTTTGCAGAATTTGGAACAAGGGGAGAAATCTAACATAGTCAAGGTAGATGAGTGCCTAACAAATATCTGTCTAAAAAATGTTCTATTGAATTTTAAAACTTTAAAATCTTGAAGAAATTTAGATATAATTAAACGAGCTGTAGAAAATCATCTTAAATTTGTATGATTTATATGCAGAGAACCTCAAAAATGTGAGGGTCTCCAAGCTTCATTACTAATTTGCTTTCAATTCTCATAAAGATTATACCATTCAGCCAGTGACTGAGAAGATTCGGAAAATTAATCAAACATTATTATATTACCTATTAGGAGTCTAGACAGTCTCCTCACCACACACATTCTGATACAATTTTGAAAGGATTTTTTTTTACAGGATGTTATTTTTTTCTCCATACTAGATAAAAGTAATAGAAACACTTAAAGAGTTCCCCAGTCAAATAAAAATGTTAAATTTGTTGGTGTATCACATTTGCATTTATACTTGCTCTAAAAAATGAAGAGTGCTATATAAAAATTGAAGAATATTTCTTTTTATGTAGTCAGTCTGTTGTTCAGTGTTCAGCTTCTTCAGTTTTCATGGATTATAAAATCTTTTAGGACAGAAGATATTCCTTACAAGACCATATTATAAGTTTCCAGCTTTAAAGGTAGATGTAATCTTAATAATCACATACCACTTTTAAGCTCTGTTAGGCACAGCTCTGGTTGCCTTTGATTTATTCATCAATGTGAGAAACCCGGACTTTTCTAAAGTCTAATTTTTGAAAAAAAGTTAAGTAGTCTCTTTGCATTAAACCATCTGCTCTACATGATTACAGGGACTCGTTTTTAGCATTGAAGCTTCCCTTTTGTGATTAAATTTCTTGTTCAACCAAGTGAACTCTTTGGAAAACATTTATTTCCAATAAAGCATATCATTGTTCACAGAGTAGTAAAATAATTATAATCAACCCAGATTCTTATTGGATAGCATCTTAAAGAACACATGTAAGTTTAGCACACTAATTAATTCAAATTCATTTATCCACCACCAAAGAAAATCTGAAGATAGTACTCACGCAGGTTTAATTGTATAGGCATGTTTTTCATGGACAAAGGCACCAGCAAGACCTCCTGCTCCTGTATTTAGATACTGGATTGAGAGTAAATTAAACTGTGTAGGTTTGCCTAAATATATATGTTAAAAATAATAGTTTTACTTTTTTGTTATGAAACCAGCTGTGATAAGATCAAAATGTGTGATTATTTTAACTTTTATTATAAGACAGAATTTGGGGTTACTTTGTTCAAAGAAAAGCAATGAAATGTAGCATTATTAATTGGGAATAAATAGTTATTACTATTTTAGCTAGTTTTTGCCCGAACTGGTAGATAACAGCTCAGGTCTACTGCCAGTTATTTGATTTCAAAGATCATTCATTTCAATGATTTTGCCACAAAATATTTAAATAATAATAAAATATTATATTTTTAAAATGCTTAAAATCACTTCTATTTCTATGCTCCCTGTCAATAAACTTGTCTTCATATGTCAATATAAAGTTGATTCCATAAGAATTAACTTTAACTTATGTAGAAATTTTTCACCATATTAACAAAAACTAGATTAAATTTGAATTAAGTTCTAAGTATGGAGGTTTTGTCCAGAACTTCCTGATTTTTTCACAGAAGTTAGAGAACTAACAGAATAAATACTCTATAAAGGATGGAAATACCAAAACTTAATAACCTATACTATTCATTAAGTGATTCTACAATTAACTAAAGTCACAAAATACAGTAATGAAGGAAATGAGGAAAGTAATTTAAATACCTAAAATTGGTCACTGATCCATTTTTACATTTAGATTAATGTTAGTGTGGACTAAAAGGGTATAAATATGTTAACTAGTCTGTTGATACCTTGTAGGAGCACCAGCAGGCAAAATCAACTCCCCAGTCATGTAAGTGAAGTTCAACATTTCCAACTGCATGTGCTAGATCAAAGCCAACAAAACAACCCTGGGGAAGAAGATAATAACATTTTGAATTTGCTTAATGATCCAAAATAACAAATACAAGTATATTTAAGAAAATTGTTGACAAAATGCTGTACCATAAATGCAGTTCATCTTTTGGTGCAATGACTCACAAAGTGTGAATCATAAAATCTTGGGCATTCTCAAGCCCCTTTCAGGTCAAAACAGTTTTCATACCAGGAAGAAGACATTCTTTGCCTTCTTCACTGTGTTGACTTTTGCGCTGATAATGCAGAAGCAATGATGGGTTGAACTGCTGGCATCTTTGCACAAGTCAAGGTAGTCAGAACTTGTGCTGTCATTGTGTGCATTTGGTTACAGCATGAAAAGGCTAATTTGAGTTATATATCTCCTTGGTACAAGTATAAAAATAATACATTTGTGTAAAATGTCAATACCTTAATTTTATTCTTTTAAGGTTTAATATGGGAATTATTCATAAAACATTTAGCAACATCCTGAACTAGGATGTTTGTCTCAAAGTAATGCACTTATGCAGTTATTTGAGTTGCAAGCTAACTTACCCACTTTAACTTCATAGAAAGCCATTTTTGCATGAGAGAGCAACTTACAGACAAATGATAGTAAATCATACTTAGGCATTTGAGACATATTTTGGAAAATGAAGTGAGTTTATCAATTTGAGGAAAATAACTTGCAGGATTTGTTGCCAAAGGGAAAAATAGTTACCAAGAGAAATTGGAGTTTTGGAAAAATTGTGTCCATTTCCATAAATATGATCATTTTTCAGTATTTAAAGATATTTTTAGTGAGTTTAGAAGTAACATATAATTTTAAAAAGAACATATAATGAAATATGAAATAATTGGAAAATATACATAACTTAATGAATTGATATTTTCCAATTATCAAGACATATTGTTACATATTATGCATGGAAAAAGATCTATTCAAAATGAAAAATCAGTCAATAGATTTTAATGTAACAATGCATAAAAAGATCACTGATTTGGTTTCACATTTCATACCACAAGTCCCAGGAAGTTCTCCTTGTCAAATTCTGATATAGGATCAAAGAATATTCACAGTTAACTGAAAAAACTGTTATATTACTTGTACTTTTTCTGAATATATATCTGTAGAAGGTCCAATTTTATTCTTATATTTCACAAAGGAAAAAAAATCAAGAGATTAAGTGCAGAAGATATATAAAACCAGCTGCCTTTATTTAGTCAAATAGCAAAGATTTATATTTCTGTATAAAGTATATGCCAAATATAAAACATTCTTTTTTTTGTTTCTTTTAGAAACTCCAATTTTGCCCCCAATAATGTAATATTTATGTCAGTATGTAATGGGTTTGTGTTTTTGTCCTAAATAAATAATATATTTTAAAGTTGTTTTTATTACAGATACAGTAAATATAGGTATACATAAACAATATTAAAACCTCTTAGAGGAGTTCAATGATTTTGAAGAATGTAAAAGTTTCCCATAATTGAAAAAGACACATGTACCCCAATGTTCATTGCAGCACTATTGACAATAGCTAGGGCAAGGTAGTGACCTCAGCTTAAACTAGACGCATCCCTGCAACCAAGTCCTGCCTAGTTCAGTTAATATAAAGTTGACCAGGTGCCAGTGCTGGAAATGTAGGAGACTTGGGTTCAATCCTTGAGTCAGGAAGATCCCCTGGAATAGGAAATGAGAACCCACTCCAGTGTTCTTGCTTGGAGAATCCCATGGACAGAGGAGCCTGGGTTGCACACAGTCCTTAGAGTTTCAAAGAGTCAGATGCAGCTGAAGCAATTTCAGGTCAGTTCAGTTACTCAGTTGTGTCTGACTCTGTGACCCCATGGACTGTAGCACACCAGGTTTCCCTGTCCATCACCAACTCCCGGAGTTTACTCAAACTCATGTCCATCGAGTCGGTGATGCCATCCAACCATCTCATCCTCAGTCGTCCCCTTCTCCTCCCGCCTTCAATCTTTCATAGCAACAGGGTCTTTTCCAATGAGTCAGTTGTTTGCATCAGGTTGCCCAAGTATTAGAGTTTCAGATTCAGCATCAGTACTTCCAATGAATATTCAGGGCTGGTTTCCTTTAGGATTAAATGGTTGGATCTCCTTGCAGTCCAAGGGACTTTCTAGAGTCTTCTCCAACACCACAGTTCAAAAGCATCAATTCTTTGGTGCTCAGCTTCCTTTCTAGTCCAACTCTCACATCCATACATGACTACTGGAAAAAACATAGCTTTAACTAGACGGACCTTCGTTGGCAAAGTAATGTCTCTCTGCTTTTTAATATGATATCTAGGTTGGTCATAGCGTTTCTTCCAAGGAGCAAGCATCTTTTAATTTCTTTCTTTTTTTTTTTTTGCATTTCATGTCTTTTTTTTTTCATTTATTTTTATTAATTGGAGGCTAATTACTTTACAATATTGTAGTGTTTTTTGCCATACATTGACATGAATCAGCAATGGATTTACATGTGTTCCTCATCCCGATCCCCCCTCCCACCTCCCTCCCCATCTCATCCCTCTGGGTCTTCCCAGTGCACCAGCTCTGAGAACTTGTCTCATGCATCCAACCTGGGCTGGTGATCTGTTTCACACTTGATAGTATACTTGTTTCAATGCTATTCTCTCAGAACATCCCACCCTCGCCTTCTCCCAGAGTCCACAAGTCTGTTCTATATATCTGTGTCTCTTTTTCTGTTTTGCATATAGGGTTATTGTTACCATCTTTTTAAATTCCATATATATGCGTTAGTATACTGTATTGGTGTTTATCTTTCTGGCTTACTTCACTCTGTATAATGGGCTCCAGTTTCATCCATCTCATTAGAACTGATTCAAATGAATTCTTTTTAATGGCTGAGTAATATTCCCTTGTGTATATATACCACAGCTTCCTTATCCATTCGCCCACTGATGGGCATCTAGGTTGCTTCCATGTCCTGGCTATTATAAACAGTGCTGTGATGAACATTGGGGTGCACGTGTCTCTTTCAGATCTCGTTTCCTCAGTGTGTATGCCCAGCAGTGGGATTGCTGGGTCATATGGCAGTTCTGTTTCCAGTTTTTTAAGGAATCTCCACACTGTTCTCTATAGTGGCTGTACTAGTTTGCATTTCCACTAACAGTGTAAGAGGGTTCCCTTTTCTCCACACCCTCTCTAGCACTTATTGCTTGTAGACTTTTGGATAGCAGCCATCCTGACTGGCGTGTGATGGTACCTCATTGAGGTTTTGATTTGCATTTCTCTGATAATGAGTGATTTTGAGCATCTTTTCATGTGTTTGTTAGTCATCTGTATGTCTTCTTTAATTTCATGGCTGCAGTCACCATCTGCGGGGATTTTGGAGCCCAAGAAAATAAAGTCTCCAACTGTTTCCATTGTTTCCCCATCTATTTGCCATGAAGTGATTGGACCGGATGCCATGATCTTAATTTTCTGAATGTTGAGTTTTAAGCAACTTTTTCACTTTCCTCTTTCACTTTCATCACAAGGCTCTTTAGTTCTTCACTTTCTGTTATAAGGGTGGTGTCATCTGTGAATCTGAGGTTATTGATATTTCTCCCGGCAATCTTCATTCCAGCTTGTGCTTCATCCAGCTCGCCATTTTGCATGATGTATTCTGCATGTAAGTCCAATAATCAGGGTGACAGTATACAGCCTTGATGTACTCCTTTCCCGATTTAGAGCCAGTCTGTTGTTCCATGTCCAGTTCTAAATGTTGCTTCTTGACTAGCACACAGGTTTCTCAGGAGGCACATAAAAGCAATGCTATTCTTGAATCTATGCTGTGTTCTTCCTGTACACTGACTTGAGACCTGAACAATCTCTTACTGACTCTATTCTGTCTCAATTATTTACTTGTATGGTTTCAAGTATTTTGTATGTCTGCCTGGTAGAACTCAGTGTTTTGGAATGTAAGACTCTTTACACTAAATTCCCAGAAGGAAAGCATGGAGCAGTAAATTTATATTATCCAAATTGTACTCAAGTAGTAATGTCCTAATTTAATTGCTTACCATCAAAACCACTTTCCTCTGTAGATCAAAATGTGAAAACATTTAGCTAGATAATATAGTGATTCATTCCACATTAAGACAACTTTGCACATGAACATGAATTTTTTAAAAAAGTCATTAAATGAGGGTGTTCATTTTGCAAACATATCTTACCTCTGAGTTCTTCTATTGTTAGCTTACTAAGAGCACATATAATAATTACCTTCTTAAAACATTAGACTTGCTGCAACTTTGAAAAAATACATCTATTGATTGATGTTTTTTGAAGTTAATAATTGCAGAAGGATTCACTTTTTGATTGTTCTAGCACCTTTTAAAAATAAATGACTCCAAACTGCTATTACAGGTACTTTCCTCAGAAGAGGGACTTCACTGGTGGGTGGCTCAGACATTAAAGTGTCTGCCTACAATGTGGGAGACCTGGGTTCAATCCCAGGGTCAGGAAGATCCCCTGGAGAGGGAAATAGCAGCCCTTTCCAGTATAACTCTTGCCTGGAAAATCTCATGGATGGAGGAGCCTAGTAGGCTACAGTCCATAGGGTCGCAAATAGTCGGACATGACTGAGCGACTACACTTCACTTTCCCCAGAATAGAGGGATGCAAACCATGACCTTTTTAATGAATAAAGTAATATTTGAGGACAGGTAATCTCATTTGTTTATATATTGTCTATGGTTGCTTTTGCATGCACAAATGAATCATTGCAACAGAGATCACATGAAAGACAAGTATGAAATATTTGCTATTTTGGTCATTACAGAAAAGATTTGCTGACCCCAACCCTATAGCATTGGTTTCCATGGAGAAAACGCAATATACTGGAGAGTCAGTTAATTAGAAAACTTACTCATTATAATGTGACCAAAACTAGGATCTCATACAAGACAAAAGGTTCTTACAGGTATTTTATTTCCCAAACACAAAAAATGAGCAACATGTCATAAAAACATGACAGATACTTCACATTAGCATAAGTTTTTGGAGC